AGCAGATAACCCTATGTTCGGTCGATAATTTTCACCAGCCGATATATATCGGTGCATCACAAATGGAATCAGCAGCAGAGCTGGTTTAGTGGCCGCCAACACCTGCACCAGCGAGGAACCCAAATATTGAATACAAGGCCTCATTTACACAAGGTGTACTAAAGCATACACCCTGGAGGGCCGTGTTTACCCACATAGCTGTTTCATGCATCCCATACAGCCAATTTCATTGATGTCTGCATTCGGGACTGTGCACCCATGCGGATGTCAGATTGGGAGCGGCATCTATGTCCATGCAGCCTCTGTGTCCCAATTGACATCAATGGGAATACCTGCAGTGCGATGCACAAAACACATGTCCATACCTGTGCAGATAAACAGAGCCCCCAATGAACATACACTTTAGTATGCCCCATGGGGATGAGACCTTACTTGCTTCATCAGTTGCAAGAAAACATTTAATGTTTCATTCACAGCATACGTGCCGAAAAACTGATGAAAAACCGCGCTTGCAGAGACATCAGTTTTCATGTGCATTTCAGTGAGTTTTTTTTTTTTCACGCTGCAGATCCTTGCACAGAAAGAATCCACATGTGATACTAGTGTTGTGGTGTGAACAGGCCACATAGAGAACAACTGTTTTCTTTGTGCCCTTGCAGAATGCGTGCAGAAAAACTCATGTCTCTGCATTATGGTGTGAACGTGGCCTAAAGCGGAACTAAACCCAACAATTTAACCATCTTAGCGGTATTACCGAGTGTAACTCAGGGTAAAATTTCTATACCAAAAGCGGTAACCCCGAGCTACACTCGGGCTTACCATGCGGTGCTGCTCTGGGGGTCCCTGCAGCACTTACCTTGTCCTTCGCTCCCGCAATGTGTCCCCTGCAGCGTCCCCGGCCATCTCCTCTGGCTTCTGTGTTCTGGTCCCTGTGACGTTGGGACGTACGGGCGCCAGAACCGGCGGGAAATTTTAAATTTTTTAAAAATGTCATTTTTGCTGTCATTGCTGTTTCAATGCATTTCACATATATTTTGTCCCTACTGCTTTGTCCTGTGCCCTGTCTGCATTTTGAATGTTCTTTCTGCCTGGAAACTTAGAAAAGTCCATGGCGTCCAAAAAGCGTCCCTTTACGTCAAAAGCGGTTTTAGAGCAGCGATAGTAAATCAGAACCACTTGCAGAATTGAGTGATGATTTGTGGGGAAATTCGTCATCAGACACTGAAAACGATTTTGCGACTTTGCTCAGCGATGTGCGAATTTGCCTCTGTATTTCAAATTTCAGTGTTTTTGGTTTGATTATATTATTGAATTAAATTTATTATTATTATATTATTATTTTTTATGATTATTTATTAAATTATAATTTATGATTTCGTGTTTCAAATTGTATCATATCCGGAATGTTTAATAGACTCTTGTTCGGGCAGATTTCAGTGAGTTATTCCTAAAAATACAGCCTACAATAAAAAAACTACATATTTCCATGCAAAAAAATGGTACCGCTTTCAGCACAAAAAATCGAAAAGAATCATACCGCCAAGGAGGTTAATGGTTTCAAAAAACAGTTACATTCCCAGTATGCCAGGAATGTTGTCACATTTGCTTGTGTTCTTAACCAAACTGTCATACCATCAAATGGTTGGTGTCATAACTGTTCACATGTGCAGCATCATGGCAGTTGCAGATCAAACTGAGGCCAAGATGGCATCTTTCTTGGCTGAAAAGCATAGGAGAGTTTAGTGCCGCTTTAACTGCAAATTCCTCTTTTTTAAAGCATATCTAAACCCAAAATCAAAAATGTAACATATTTCAGCTTACCAGTCCATAGATGTGGTGGCTGAATTAATTGTGGTTTTGAAAGATTTTTTTTTCACCTGAAGATCTGGCCAGTAACACACTTTCTGTCTTATGGTTCACTTACACAGCCTCAAATGTTGGTGTTTCTTAATCAGTAAAATGTTTTTTTTTTGCGGACCAGAATGCAGAGTGAGATCATCCTGCACCAACCAATGAAGATGGCTGAAAACTGGCACACAAAAGAAGATGCCAGCAAGGGATGGGGACGGTTGGAGGAAACAGTACAGATGCCTTGCGTTTCCTTGCATCTGCTTTAAAGTGGAGTTCCAGTTGAATAAAAAAAAAAAATAAAAGTCAGCAGCTGCAAAAACTGTAGCTGCTGTCTTTTAAAATACAGATACTTACCTGTCCCTCGTTCCAGCTGTGTCCTCACATGGCTGGTTTCACTGGCCATCTTTTCTCCCCAGCGCCGGCATCTTCAGTGTGGGCACCCAGCTGTGACAGCTTGCGGCTTCAGAGCCGGGTGCCCACTGAGCATGCGCGAGTAGCCCTGCACTTTGTGAATGGTCCCGTAGTCCTCTGGGACCTGTCATGTGTTCTAGAAGACTACGGGGAGGGAGGGGGGGAGGACAACTTCCGCGTCTGATCGCCTTAAGCCACAGGTGGCAAAAACACAAGGCCCGCGGGCCGAATCCGTCCCGTCAAGCCTTGTCATGTGGCCTGCTCAGCAGCCGCCACCTCCTGTTCTCACCATCTGCTTTCTGCTGTCATGGAACAGGTCTCCTTAGCAACAGAAGTAAAAACTTCCTGCTCTCTCCTCCTCAGTCCCGCAAGTGGCATCGGCTTTCTGTGTAGCTGAGCGCATGCACGGTTGGTCCGGCATAGCCTGTGTGTCCTTCTCTATCCAGTGGGCTTAATCCTGTGGGTGGGCTTTTGAGTACTTGCTGCACCCAACAGTGGCCATGAAGAGAGGCAGTGTTGTAAAAACCATCTTGCATCTGAGTGCAATTGCTTTTGATGGTTTTGTTAGTGAGCACATCCCATACCCTGCACTGTGCGTAGCGCACCCCTAAACCCTGCACACGGTAAGTAGCGCACCCCTAAATCCTGCACACCGTACGTAGCGCACCCCTAAACCCTGCACACCGCACCCTGCACACCCTGAACCCTGCACACCGTACATAGCGCACCACTGAACCCTGCACACCGTACATAGCGCACCACTGAACCCTGCACACCGTACATAGCGCACCACTGAACCCTGCACACCCTAGCGCACACCCTGCACACCTTACATAGCGCACCACTGAACCCTGCACACCGTACATAGCGCACCACTGAACCCTGCACACCGTACATAGCGCACCACTAAACCCTGCACACCTGTACATAGCGCACCACTGAACCCTGCACACCGTGCACACCTTACATAGCGCACCACTGAACCCTGCACACCGTACATAGCGCACCACTGAACCTTGCAACCATGCACACCGTACATAGCGCACCACTGAACCCTGCACACCGTACTAGCGCACCACTGAACCCTGCACACCGTACATAGCGCACCACTGAACCCTGCACACCGTACATAGCGCACCACTGAACCCTGCACACACATAGCGCACCACAGAACCTCGCACACGTACATAGCGCACCACTGAACCCTGCACACCGTACATAGCGCACCACTGAACCCTGCACACCGTACATAGCGCACCACTGAACCCTGCACACCGTACATAGCGCACCACTGAACCCTGCACACCGTACATAGCGCACCACTGAACCCCCTGCACACCGCACACCGTACATAGCGCACCACTGAACCCTGCCTGCACCACTGAACCCTGCACACCGTACAAAGCTGCACCACTGAACCCTGCACACCGTACAAAGCGCACCACTGAACCCTGCACACTGAACCCTCACATAGCGCACCACTGAACCCTGCACACCTCACATAGCGCACCACGGAACCCTGCAGACCTTACATAGCGCACCACTGAACCCTGCACACACCGTACATAGAGAACCCCTAAACCCTGCACCCTGCACCGTACATAGAGAACCCCTAAACCCTGCACACCATACATAGAGAACCCCTAAACCCTGCACACCGTACACAGAGAACCCCTAAAAACCCTGCACAAAGTATGTAGCGCACTACTGAACCCTGAAGATAGTCGGCCCTTTGAGGGTATCCATACTGCTGATGCGGCCCCTGATGAATTTGACACCCCTGCCTTAGGCAATCGCAGCAGAGGTGGGAGTGGGTACCTGTCAAATTCGGGTACCCGCTCCCCAAAGGTGCCAATCCTTAATGGGGAACAGGGGACAAAGACTTAAGGAGGAACTTCCTCTTTTGGCTGGAGCTCTGCTTTAACTTTTGAAATCACCTCCTTCTATTAGCATCTGCCGGTAAGGACATTCACTTTATTTGTCCTGATGGTCATTATTGCTAGATTTGAAAGAGAGAAAAATCTGAAAAGATCGTTGACACCAGAACAGGAACAGAGTGCAAATCTTCCAATAGGGGCACTTGTTACAGTAGCATTTCACTCACTTCCTGTTGTTTGTACAAGACAGGCAGTACAAGGAAATCTATCCAATGGGACACAGTTTGGTAAACAATAACCTGACATTGGCTTGAACCCATCCTACTCTATCCAAAAATGAAAATAAGTTTTGGATCTAGATGTAATTGAAGAGATCGTCTAATATACAAGCATGGCCATTGAATGGCAGATAAGCCATGCAAGTTTGTATGAGAGAGAAGTGTCAGGCTAGAAGCCATGGAGTGAGCTGAGTCATCCTGAGTATTAATGATGATCGGAGCTGGCCCCTGATCACTATGCCTCAGGATGAATCGCCTTGTATGAACTCAGCTAATCGGCTCATGGAGGGGGAGGGGATGGGGACATGGTGACAGGAGGGGACATGGTGACAGGAGGAGGCACACACGGATACAAGTTGAAGGACTCCAGCAGACTCCAGCCTGCAGCAGGACAGTATCTGGAGTGGACGCCCTCTGTCTAACCCCACAGGGCGGAATGTAAACACGGAGCGCCTGCAGCAGGCAAGCCTCCCTCACACACAATGCCAGCAGCGCCTTCACCCACCAATGACGTGACAGCAAGCCCCCTGGTATCCCCACCTCACAGCACGGCAATGGCACACGGGTGACCCCGGACATTTACCTGTCTGAGAACAACGGCCAATACCAGCCACAGGAGTCCTGCCCGAGACCGCGCAGCGCGTTCCCCACAAAGGCAGGCAGGTGCACTGCACGACACCGGCTGGAACCGCCTGTCTCACGTCACGGGGCACGGGCCACCAATCAGAACGCGGAGGGCTGTTGCACCTGCGTCCACGCCGTCCATTGTTCCAATTGGAGAAGCCGGGCGAGTGTGGCTGGCGTGACGTCAGCGGGTGCCGTGCTCTGGCGTAACCCAGAGCAGGCCGTGGTGTGTGTAGCGGAGTCGGTGAAGGAGAGGCAGTAGTACAGTACAGAGCCTGTTCATGTACCCATCCTTACCTGGCTGGCAGGAGATGGAGTCATTGTAGAGAAACGTTCACACTGCGTGCTGGGCAAGTGCCTTCCCACTTTGTGTGTTTACAGGTGCTTCCAGATGTGCTGGTGTGAAATAAAGGTTTTTTTTGCTGTATGTCATGTTAGTATTGGTGCACCGAAATGAATATTCTGGTACCGAAACCGAACATTCAGGATGCATTTGACCAAAAACCAAAAAGGACAGTTTTTAAAAAAATAATATATATGTTTTGGAAAAATATACACTTTAATGATTTTAAAAACAATATATACCCCGATTGTTTTGTAAAATATGAAAGATGATGTTACGGCGAGTAAATAGATACCCAACATGTCATGCCTTTAAATTTGCGCATGGTTGTGGAATGGCGTCAAAGTACAGTACTTGAAAATCTCCATGGGTGAGCCTTTAAACATGTCTACAGGTTAGCAGTGTAATGTTACAGGGGAGTTTTAGAGGAACTGAATTCTCTCTTGAGAAGAGATTAAGGGGGGGGGGGGGGGATATGATCAACATGTATAAATACATCAGTGGTTCTTATAGTGAACTCGGTGTAGAGTTATTCACCTTGAAGTCATCACAGAGGACAAGGGGGCACTCTTACGTCTGGTGGAGGAAAAGAAATGTAATCTCCAAACATGGAAAGGGTTCTTCACAGTAAGAGCTGTGAGAATGTGGAATAGACTCCCTCAAGAGCTGGTTCTGAATTGTTGCTTCCTCTGATGTTTGTGGTAATACCGCACTTGTGTGGTGTGAACACCATTTACATATGGGGGCGTGCCCTACGTATGCTTTCACCACTACATAGTCTGGCTGAAAAAAGACAAAAGTTCATCCAGTTCTACCATTAAAAAAAAAAAAAGTTATCCTATACCCACAGTTGATCCAGAGGAAGGCAAAAAAAAAACCCAGCAAAGCATGGTCCAATTTGCTCCTGAAGGGGAAAAAATTATTTCCGGTTCCCCGAGAGGCAATCAGATATTCTCTGGATCAACTTTACCTATAAATGTTATAGCCAGTTATATTCTGTATATCCAAGAAATAATCCAGGCCTTTTTTAAAGCAATCCACTGAGCTGGCCAGACCCAGCTCTTGAGGGAGTCTATTCCACATTCTTACAACTCTTACTGTGAAGAAACTTTTCCGTGTTTGGAGATTACATTTCTTTTCCTCCAGATGTAAAGAGTGCCCCCTTGTCCTCTGTGATGACCTCAGGATGAATAACTCTACACCAAGTTCACGTGTTGATCATATCCCCCCTTAATCTCCTCTTCTCAAGAGAGAATAAATTCAGTTCCTCTAATCTTTCCTCATAGCTGAACTCCTCCATACCTCTTATCAGTTTGGTTGCCCTTCTCTGTACTTTCTCCAGTTCCCCAATGTTCTTTTTGTTAATTGGTGCCCAAAACTGAACTGCATATTACAGATGAGGTCTTACTAATGATTTGTACAGGGGTAATATGATATCTCTCTCTCTGCGAGGACGGGGGCACTTTAATCTCTTTTTTTTTTAATTTAATTTAATTTGTTTTTTTTTTTACACTGTCCCTTTAAAAAAAAAAAATTGAATCACTTTTATTCCTATCATAAGGAATGCATGCATCCCTTGTGATAGAAAGAAGCAGTGACAGGTCCTCTTTATGGAGAGATGGGGTCAATAAGACCCCACATCTCTCATTTACAATGTAAAGCATTAGATCAAAAAAAGCATTGATCTAGTACAGTGGCCTCCAAACTACGGCTGGGGGCCGGATGTGGCCCTTTGCTTGCCCTTATCCGGCCCTTGGGGCACTATTTCTCCCAGTGATACAAGACACTATTCCTCCCACTGACACCAACAAGTGGGGCATAATTCCTGCTACTGACATCAAGAACAGTCACTATTCCTCTTGCTGAAACAAACCATGGAGCATTGTTCTTCCCACTGACACCAACAACGGGGCACTATTTCTCCAACCTCAACCAAGAATAGGGCGCTATTCCTCCCCTAATGCCAAAGATGCATTATTTACTTCTAATGACGCAGGACAAATTCTACTCCCAATGGCCATAGTCCAGCCCCCCTAAAGTCTGAAAGCCAGTAAACTGACCCCTGATCTAGTGCTTTAAAAAAAAAAATGGCCTTGTTTACAAGGCGCCGGTACCGGAAGTGACCGCTCCGGTCCTCCAAGGGCATAAAGCTGAGTGGAGGCCATCTTTCCTTCATTTATCTCTATGCCCAAACGCCAAGATCGTTCGATGGTTTCTCAGGTAAGGCTGAGAACTACTGAGCGGTGGCAGCAGTGGGGGGTGGCGGCAAGGGGGCGGGGATATTTTCCGCACCTGTATCGGTGCTTATTTTCATATTCGGCCAACGGCCGATAGGGGTGTTTTTGGCCGAAACATTTTGGCAACCGAAATTTCGGTGCACCCCTAGATATTAGTACTGCTATACTAATGGTAATCCTGCTGCTATGTGAACATTTACTGTATTAGCATACCATTGAATGACCCCCACACTCGCCTGACCTAAATCCAATAGAACATCTCTGGAATATCATGTGATTAGGGGTTAGGAAGGGGTTAAAGTGGTTGTAAACCTCAGACATGAAGTATGAACAAAGCATATCCCTCTATAGTGCGTACTTGTCTTAGTCCAGAGCACTAATGTCATTTCTGTCTGCTGCCTCATTCCTCTGCTATCTGCATGTTTCACTTCTGAGAAGTTTTTATGACACTAAGAGAAAAATGGTGATGGGAGTGAGCTCTAGCAGATTGACAGCCTCAGCTCTGTTCCTGTCCCTTTCCTCCAATCAGCTCTTCTCACTGATATAACTTCAGATCCCCCCCCCCTGCTTTTTCAGAGTTGAGGGATCTTATATAAACTCTGCACTTTGAATGGATGTAGGAGACAGAACGCTTCAGATAAACAGGTACAACTTATGTAGGAGGATTTGTTTCATCTCTGTGTATCACCAGAGGCCAATCACATCACTAGGTATTTACAATCACTTCAAAGCAGAACTTCACAGAAAAGGGGAAGTTCTGCTTGTTTGTATCGCCCCCTCCACTGCCACATTTGGTACTTTTGTTTGGGGGGGGAGCGGGTGCTTGGTTTTAACAGGTACTCACTTTCTCTTCCGATCAGATCACCGCAATGATCTGTGCAGAAGTTCGGCTCCCTCCTCCTTCCCCCCGCAGCTTCCTGGGACATATAGTTTTTTTTTTTGGCTTGATTGCAGTAACTCATAACTTCATGTTTATTGACCATCCATTTGTGATATGGTATAATTAAAATACATTGCCTGAATGTATTACATCTTTCAGGAGGAAATATACCAAGATGATCGTCATGTATTCCAGTAAGTACCCAATGCTACCTTCTTTGGTTTCCACCGGTTACTGCTGAAGTGGGCAGGCATCATATATATAAATTGCTCTACATAAAGTTCCTTGTGTTCATCAGTTTTATATACAACACTGAGTGTCACATACAGGTACCTACTGTTGCATATCCTTCATTAGACCATTATGACTGCTGCGAATAGTGCATACAAGACATGCACGCCGACATACCTTTATGAATAAAAGACACTTTTTCTCTTTTTTTACCTAGTGAAATTTAACTTTTTAAAATTAATGTTTGAAATATTTTATTGTCTAAAGTTTAATACTAAATAAAACAAGCAATTCAGTGGTTAATAACACTTTGCAATAATCTAAGCTATGGATAGTCTCTGCTAATACAGAGCAAATAAAGGCTGGCTTTCCAGGTAGGCACATTAATGCAGGCCATAGATGGGGAGAAAAAACGGCCGATTTTTCGTCCGAAAATAAAACCGGCCGATTATCTTATCGTTAGTGGACGATTTTGTCAGCCGTTTTTCGTGTATTTTGGACTTTCAGATTATCGGTGATGTTGGAAAATTTTCGAAAAACGCCCGACTTTATCCTCATTGATGGTCAAAAAAACGAACGATCGTTTTCCGAAAAAGGATCACAAAGGCCACAAAATGACATCATTTCCCGTTATAGGTTACTCATTAATCGGCCGATTTTCGTAATAATTGATGGTCAGGTAAGTTTTTTTAGACCGACCGATAGTTCGTTAATCGGCCGAAAATCTGCCGTTTTTCTCCCCATCTATGGCCTGCATTAGGCACTGTACAAAAACATAAGTGTTGTGCTGCTAGTAACATACACTATATTGCCAAAAGTATTGGGACACGTCTCCAAATCATTGGTTTCAGGTGTTCTAATCACCTCCATGGCCAAAGGTGTATAAAATCAAGCACCTAGACATGCAGACTTTTTCTAAAGAACAGAGGTATACCGCTCAGGCAAACAATCTAGATCAATCCACAACAGGTGCAGGCTCTGGTTCGCCACCACACACGATGCAATAGGAAGAAGGATCAGCCGCACTTTGGAGGATAGATGAATATAGTGTATATTTATTGATCTATAGGACACACAAAACACCAGGACATGACTATAGGACCTGTTAATGCGTTAACACAATCTCGTGCTTAATCAGACTTTTTCTACAAACATTTGTAATAAAATGGGTCGCTCTCAGGAGCTCAGTGAATTCAAGCATGGTACCGTGATAGGTTGCCACCTGTGCAGTAAGTTCATCCGTGAAATTTTCTTGCTACTAAACATTCCATGGTCAACTGTTAGTGGTATAACAACATGGAAGCAACTGGGAACAACAGCAACTCAGCCACGAAGTGGTAGACCACGTAAACTGACCGAGCGGGGTCAGCGCATGCTGAAG